AATCTCCTCACACTCCTGCGGTTGTCCATTTTGTCATAGGTTGCTGGCAGATTACAGGCCTTCCATAGGTGCCACCAAGCCCCATATCGGCCATGGGCCCCCGTACCGCCTGGTCACGCTGCTGCTGGGCCCACAGTGTGACCTGGGTCCCTGTACCGCCTCCCATTGCTCCCACTCTGCCATGTGCCACTTTCAGGTCTCCTCACGCTCCTGCTGGTTTCCATTTTGTCATAGGTTGCTGTATGGCCTCCCATTGCTGCTGCCTCCACCGCCACACTGTGGCTCCAAACACTGGTTTTGGCCCCGTGACTGGCCAAAGGAGTGAAGTGTGCAGTGATTCTAAGATCGACGGCACTCATCTGCATGTCATACTGACAGACAGTATTATTTCTCTTCCCCAGCAGACTCCAAGGGCATTTAAATTAAAGGTACAGTGTTCTGCACTAATATTAAGTCTCTCTGAAGCCTAGAAACACCCTTTTTTAAGTTAAATTCACAGCGAATTTATTCGACTCGAATCGAATATTGTCCACGAATTCGCCGAATCAGTCGAATCGAATTTTTCATTTCTTCGCTCATCTCTAGTCAGAACAGTACAGATATCCCCCAAATTTCAGAACAGAACAGATATCCCCCAAATGTCAGAACAGTACAGATATCCCCCAAATGTCAGGACAGTACAGATATCCCCCAAATATCAGAACAGTACAGATATCCCCCAAATGTCAGGACAGTACAGATATCCCCCAAATGTCAGAACAGTACAGATATCCCCCAAATGTCAGAACAGTACAGATATCCCCCCAAATGTCAGGACAGTACAGATATCCCCCAAATGTCAGGACAGTACAGATATCCCAAATGTCAGAACGGTACAGATATCCCCCAAATGTCAGGACAGTACAGATATCCCCCAAATGTCAGGACAGTACAGATATCCCCCAAATATCAGAACAGTACAGATATCCCCCAAATGTCAGGACAGTACAGATATCCCCCAAATGTCAGGACAGTACAGATATCCCCCAAATGTCAGAACAGTACAGATATCCCCCAAATGTCAGGACAGTACAGATATCCCCCAAATGTCAGGACAGTACAGATATCCCCCAAATGTCAGGACAGGACAGATATCCCCCAAATGTCAGAACAGAACAGATATCCCCCAAATTTCAGAACAGAACAGATATCCCCCAAATGTCAGAACAGTACAGATATCCCCCAAATTTCAGAACAGAACAGATATCCCCCAAATGTCAGAACAGTACAGATATCCCCCAAATGTCAGAACAGTACAGATATCCCCCAAATGTCAGGACAGTACAGATATCCCCCAAATATCAGAACAGTACAGATATCCCCCAAATGTCAGGACAGTACAGATATCCCCCAAATGTCAGAACAGTACAGATATCCCCCAAATGTCAGAACAGTACAGATATCCCCCCAAATGTCAGGACAGTACAGATATCCCCCAAATGTCAGGACAGTACAGATATCCCAAATGTCAGAACGGTACAGATATCCCCCAAATGTCAGGACAGTACAGATATCCCCCAAATGTCAGGACAGTACAGATATTCCCCAAATGTCAGAACGGTACAGATATCCCCCAAATGTCAGAACAAGACAGACATCCCCCAAATGTCAGAACAGTACAGATATCCCCCAAATGTCAGGACAGGACAGATATCCCCCAAATGTCAGAACAGAACAGATATCCCCCAAATTTCAGAACAGAACAGATATCCCCCAAATGTCAGAACAGTACAGATATCCCCCAAATTTCAGAACAGAACAGATATCCCCCAAATGTCAGAACAGTACAGATATCCCCCAAATGTCAGGACAGTACAGATATCCCCCAAATATCAGAACAGTACAGATATCCCCCAAATGTCAAGACAGTACAGATATCCCCCAAATGTCAGAACAGTACAGATATCCCCCAAATGTCAGAACAGTACAGATATCCCCCCAAATGTCAGGACAGTACAGATATCCCCCAAATGTCAGGACAGTACAGATATCCCAAATGTCAGAACGGTACAGATATCCCCCAAATGTCAGGACAGTACAGATATCCCCCAAATGTCAGGACAGTACAGATATCCCCCAAATGTCAGGACAGTACAGATATCCCCCAAATATCAGAACAGTACAGATATCCCCCAAATGTCAGGACAGTACAGATATCCCCCAAATGTCAGAACAGTACAGATATCCCCCAAATGTCAGAACAGTACAGATATCCCCCCAAATGTCAGGACAGTACAGATATCCCCCAAATGTCAGGACAGTACAGATATCCCAAATGTCAGAACGGTACAGATATCCCCCAAATGTCAGGACAGTACAGATATCCCCCAAATGTCAGGACAGTACAGATATCCCCCAAATGTCAGGACAGTACAGATATTCCCCAAATGTCAGAACGGTACAGATATCCCCCAAATGTCAGAACAAGACAGATATCCCCCAAATGTCAGAACAGTACAGATATCCCCCAAATTACCTCTTGTTGCAAAGTAGACAGTCCGACGTATTTCATAAGAGGCATGGCGAGTTTTTTGAAGCTGCAATTTTTTTGTCATAATTTTTCGGAAAATGAAGAAATTAAATAATTTTTTCAGTTTTTTAAATGTTTTTTATTTTTACATTTTTATTTCTCTTTTTCTAAGATTTTTTTTTTCATATTACAGTATGACCGAAGTAGTATAATGTTACCATAGTAAGTGATGTATTTTTTTTTTTTTTGCAAAATTTGATTGCTTATAGCAAAGAATTTCTTTGCCATAAGCAAGCATTAAACTGAATGAAATCGATTCATTGAGGGTTTTATTTTGTGATTAGCTGTGATTGGCCCACTCTGCGCATGTGATCACTGTGACCATTCACAGCTAGACACACTTGTATACAATGGATGCCATGATACAACTGTCATGTGACCTGCTGTGATTGGTCACAGCAGGTCACACACGGTACTGGCAACTGGGCCGGTACACAGATCTTTATTTATTTTGTTATAACCAAATAATTTGTTATTATTATTATTAATAAGAACAATAATTCTTAAGAATTAATATTAATAATTTTTAAGAATAATAAGAATATTAGAATAATAATGCTAAGCTCACAGGAATAAAAACGACGGATCCGAATCAATTTAGGATCATCAGCAAAAGTCCCAAACTATCACATCATGTCCTATAAATGAAACAAATAAATACAAATTAATTTGTTGTTTTTATTATCATGTATTTCAGTTTCATTGAAACTCATGAATCGGAGATTCGAATTCATCCGAATCTCCGAATCATGAAAATTCAGTCCGAATTTTGATTCGTAAAAGAAAAAAAAAAATCACGTGTCATCGCCACCCACAGGAGAGCAGCGAAGACACGCAAATAAAATGCCTTTTTTCTTAAAATGTTTTTGCTTCTATATTTTTTTTTTTTTTAATTAATTTTCCTCGCATCGGCAGCTGTAAGCCTCATGCATATTTCATCTGTTTATGAAATTTTTATATATTGTATCTGTTTGGTATTCCCCTTCTTGTTGGAATGTACTTTTGTTTCGTTTATGTTCTGCAGATGTGGTGAACGGACCCCCAACAGAGCCGCGTGACGGGTCCAAATACTGCGCCGGATTCGGATCACGAAGGAAATGTTGTTTTAGTGCACCTGCTGCATGAAATGAGAGCGAATTAAAGTTCGATGTGTGTTTAGGCGAGGGCTGTGAACAGCATCATGTACAGTACATGTGATACGGCAGAGGAAAAATGGGGGCATTTATCTACAATTATCCACCAGCATATGGAGATAGGGAATTAAATCATTCCAAAAAATGTAAAAAAAAAAAAAAAAAAAAAGGTAAGTAGAAATCTGTATATTTTTAAAGTCTTAAATGTACCACGTTTAAAAATGTACAATTACACACGCATTATTTTTTACTACAACATAAATCGCCTAAAAACTTTAATTATTAACATAGTAAATGTTTTTCTAAGCAGATGGTGTTCGTCAGTTTTAACCCAATGCGACACATCAATAGCAGTATTTTTTTTTTTTCTTTTTTTACTTGTAATTAGATAAAAAAAAAAAGCCACAAAATTCCCAAACTAAGCCTTTAATTAAAAAAAAAAAAGGCTGGAAATGGTGTTATTGATTTTAAGATAATTGGAGCTGCGAACTGTAAATTTTCTTTTAAAAAAAAAAATGCCGGTATTCTGGTCGAGATGTGTAAATTATTTTAAATAAAATAAAGCCACAAAATTCCCAAACTAAACATTTAATAAAAATTAAAAAAGAAAATGCTGGAAATGGTGTTATTTTTTTTTTTAAGATAATTGGGGCTGTGAGCTGTAAATTTTCTCTTCACAAAAAAAATGCAGGTATTCCGGTCGGGATGTGTAAATTATTTTAGATAAAATAAAGCCACAAAATTAAGAAACCAAAATTTCCAAACTAAACTTTTAATTAAAAAAAAAATGTTGGAAATGGTGTTATTGATTTTTTTAAAGATAATTGGGGCTGTGAGCTGTAAATTTTCTGTTCACAAAAAAATGCCAGTATTCAGGTCGGGATGTGTAAATTATATTTTAGATAAAATAAAGCCACAAAATTAAGAAACAAAATTCCCAAACTAAAACTTTAATAAAAAAATTCAATAACACCATTTCCAGCATTTTTTTTAAAGATAATTGGGGCTGTGAGCTGTAAATTTTCTGTTCACAAAAAAAATGCCGGTACTCCAGTCGGGATGTGTAAATTATTTTTTATAAAATAAAGCCACAAAATTAAGAAACAAAACTCCCAAACTAAAACTTTAATAAAAAAAAAATACGGGAAATGGTTTTATTAAAATTTTTAAGATAATGGGGGCTGTGAGCTGTTAATTTTTTCTTTTCACAAAAAAGCTGGTATTCCGGTCAGAATGTGTAAATATTTTAGATAAAATAAAGCCACAAAATTAAGAAACAAAATTCCCAAAATAAACCTTTAATTTAAAAAAAAATGCTGGAAATGGTGTTATTGAAATCTTTTAAAGATAATTGGGGCTGTGTGCTGTAAATTTTCTGTTCACAAAAAATGCTGGTATTCTGGACGGGATGTGTAAATTATTTTAGATAAAATAAAGCCACAAAATTCCCAAACTAAACCTTTAATTAAAAAAAACAAATGCTGGAAATGGTGTTATTGAATTTTTAAAGATAATTGGGGCTGTGAGCTGTAAATTTTCTGTTCACAAAAAAATGCCAGTATTCCGGTCGGGATGTGTAAATTATTTTAGATAAAATAAAGCCACAAAATTAAGAAACAAAATTTCCAAACTAAACTTTTAATTAAAAAAAAAATGTTGGAAATGGTGTTATTGATTTTTTTAAGATAATTGGGGCTGTGAGCTGCAAATTTTCTGTTCACAAAAAAATGCCGGTATTCAGGTCGGGATGTGTAAATTATATTTTAGATAAAATAAAGCCACAAAATTAAGAATCAAAATTTCCATACTAAACCTTTTATCAAAAAAAAAAATGCTGGAAATGTTGTTTTTGAATTTTTTAAGATAATTGGGGCTGTGAGCTGTACATTTTCTGTTCACAAAAAAAAATGCAGGTATTCTTGTGGGGATGTGTAAATTATTTTAGATAAAATAAATAACACAAAATTAAGAAACAAAATTCCCAAACTAAACGTTTAATTAAAAAAAATGTTGGAAATGGTGTTGTTGATTTTTTTAAGATAATTGGGGCTGTGAGCTGTAAATTTTTCTGTTCACAAAAAAATGCAGATATTCTTGTGGGGATGTGTAAATTATTTTAGATAAAATAAAGCGACAAAATTAAGAAACAAAATTCCCAAACTAAACCTTTTATTCTAAAAAAAGAAAAATGCTGAAAATGGTGTTATTGAATTTTTTTAAAGATAATTGGGGCTGTGAGCTGTAAATTTTCTCTTCAGAAAAAAAATGCAGGTATTCCAGTCGGGATGTGTAAATTATATTTTAGATAAAATAAAGCCACAAAATTAGGAAACAAAATTCCCAAACTAAACGTTTAATTAAAAAAAAATAGCTGGAAATGGTGTTGTTGATTTTTTTTAAGATAATTGGGGCTGTGAGCTGTAAATGTTCTGTTTACCAATAAATGCCGGTATTCCGGTCGGGATGTGTAAATTATTTTAGATAAAATAAAGCCATAAAATTAAACATTTTTTAACAAAAAAAATACAAAAAAGGCAAAAAAAAAACCCTAAACAAAAAACAATAGCATACAAATTATTAAACCAAAAAATCACTAAAGGAAAAAAATTATACAATCCTAAATACTCCCCAATAAACACCTAAAATAAAATTGATTACATTAAAAAAAAAAAATCAGTGACACGGGTCGAATTCCGAATGAATTTTCTTTAGAAAATCGGAATTTTTCTGCGTTTTATAATCCGACGGCGCCACCATTGCTTTCGAAGGTCAATCTACCAAGCCTTCGATTTCTCATGTGGCTACAGAAATTAATTTGCGTGGCCAAGAATTTTTTTTTCTTTCCAGGTCTCACACGATTCTCCCATCGTTGATTCGAAAATTTGTTCGTTTTTCTAAAAATTTCCAACATGCCCGATCACTGAAATTCGACGGCCACACGAAAATCGGTCGTTGCTGTGACCCACTAAATTTACGAAATTCAAATGAAAATATTTTTGAAAGAAGATTTTTTTTCAGAATTGTTTGGAATTAATGAGAGTTTTTTTTCCTTTTCTGGTCGGTAATTTTGTGGCAAAATAAATTTTGCATAAGTGGCTCCATTCACCGCAGCTAAAGAATTTCTGCTTTTTCAGGGGTTAAAAATAAATATTTAAAGTTAACTGTATATTGATGTTTAAATTTAACAATATTTTGATAATTAATATTTTTTAGAGTGTTAAGAATACTAATTTCTAAAAGAAAAAAAAAATAGAAGAGGGCTGCTTTGGACCCATAATTTAATCCTGCTATATTAATTGAGTACATCAAGGGATTGATTAACCAACAGCGTAGTCACATGCAAGGAAAAATATATATATTTTTAATTAAAAAAAACAAACAATTGGGTATTC